GTTTCTTCATTAAACCGAGATAATCAATAGCACATACATCACAGCAATGGTTTGCAGAGATAATTCATGTAAAACGCACACTGAGCTTTCAATAACAGTAACTCGCCGGTATCGATTCTGCTGACACCCTACAAATGAGTGATAAGAGCTAAGAAGGGCTCATGGACCCAAGTCAGGGGATTTGCTTTTTTCCAGGGCGCTTTCATCGTTAAATGGATCCGGTCTAGTTCCATGGGCATATTTGAGGAAAACAACATTTGCCTAAAGGTGAAATAAATGCCAGAGACATTCACAGGAACATCAACCACAAACAATTACTAAACACATTGATCAATGCTCCAAGCTCTACAATAAAGAGAGGAGAAAGTTATGGCCCTGGAGCTTCTGTCCTGTGCTATCGAACCCACCCCATCCTGCCGCCATGCCGTTGCTGGGTTATATCTACAGGCTACAAAAGTGTAGATGCAAGCGAACGAAATGCCCCTCAGACAGCACCCATCCCAAATGTCAACGGCTAGTTCATGGCTTCACGGCATCTTTCCCATCAGGGCTCTGGGGGCTGCTGGGTCCGGCGTTTGTGCCCACGGCACCTTGTTAGGCTCATCATGACCTGCAGGGGTCAAATCTCATCGCTCCACCATTAGCAACCTTTGGACATCAGTGGTGGACCCTTCTCCCTCCTCCCTCCTCCCCCCTCCCACTTAGGGAATGTGCCTTCCACTGGTCCACCTCCTCTTATCCACCGCCGTGCGTTCCTTCGGCTCCTCTGACTGTGTGCCTTCTTTTCAGACCTCTTTCGTGTGGTGACCCCATTTACTGGTGCCAACCTCATAAATGCGGTTACTCTAGTCCTCTCTCCTTGTTGCCTTTCTTCTTCCCCACCCCCCTTTAAGACAAGGTCTCATGTAGCCCAGGTTAGCCTCTAACTCAGTATCTAGCTGAAGATAGCCTTGCACTGGGATTGCAGGCACGTCCTCACCATGCCCACCTTGGGTGGTGTTGGGGATCAGACTGAAGGCCCTGTGCATGCTGGGTAAGCGCTCCACCAATTGAGCTTCATCCCTTACGGCCTGACACCCCCACAAATGAACGATAAGCTAACAAGGGCTTTCCTTCACACCCTCCATTGGAACACCAGCAAATCCAGTCAGTTTTGCCTTCCAGATATTTCTAGAACCTTCCAATTTCTTGACCGCTCCACTACTCTACATAGTCCATACCATCACTTTCTCCTGGTTGCTCTCCCAGCTCCTACCCACAATCCTCTGCTGGTATTTCCACTTGCCAGTAGATAGGGTCTCTTCCAGCAAATGTCACACCTCTCCACGTTCTTCCTCAGTCAACAGAGTCACCTCTGATCTTGGGGTCTTCTCTGATGTCATCACCCTCACTCAGGCCTGGCCTGAAGACCCTGCATGACTCTGCCACAGAGGCGCTGTTCTTTTCTCTCTGGAAGGTTCTGACTCCAGTCACCCACTGGGCACCTTCCGCATTTGTTTCACTTCTTGCCCTTCTCGGCAGAGAGTCCTTCTCTAGCAAGTTCTTACAGAAAAGGCAAAGTCCATCCCTTCCCCTTGCCGTGAGGAATTGTTCCACGGCATCCGTCAGTCCTGGATGTATTATACATCCGATAATTACTTTGTCTCCTCCAACTAGGTCGAACTTTGTTTTGCTCATCCATGTATTTGCACCTCTGAGTCCACAGCCTGGCACATAGCAACTGCTTGATAAATGCACCAACTGACTTAGTCCATGCTGAAAGCGACCAATAACCCAAGGTCAGAGATGTCTTCATGACTCTATGCCTTGCCTGTCACCAACAATCTGTGAGACAAAGAGTAATCATGACTCTGCCTTCTTGGTTTCAAAACTAGCGACCATGGCTGGTGAGTGAAGATGCTTATCAAGGGGCTGGAGAGATGGCTCAGGGGTTAAGAGCACTGACTGCTCTTCCAGAGGTCCTGAGTTCAATTCCCAGCAACCACATTGTGGCTCACAACCACCTATATTGAGATCTGGTGCCCTCTTCTGGCCTACAGGCAGGATACTGTATAAATAAATAAATCTTTATAAACATATATATATATATATATATATATATGAAAGAGAGAGGCTTGTCAACAATCCTGACAACCTGAGTTCAATCCCCAGGACCGGCATGAAGGTGAGAACAGACTCCTACAAGTTGTCCTCTGACCTCCACGTGCACACCCTGGCATGTGTGCACACACACACACACAAGGACACACAAATAAACAAGTAAATGTAATTAAAATTTTAAAAGAAAACAATTTTCAAATATTGATTACATAAAGCTTGGACCTTCATCCATTTCTGGATTCGCCCATTAGACATATTTTTCTCTCTATCACAGAAGCAGAGACATACTTGTGAAATGATCCTCTGTCACCGGCCGCTCTTTCATTGTCCCAGCAATATGCTCAAAGAAATGAGCATTCTGGTGAGGCCAGCTGGGGCTGGGGTGTTCCTGGCCGTTTCCAATAACACTCCTAAATAAAACCGGGGATGCGCCTGACCTTGTGGATGCACGGGGAGAAAAGGGGTCAGTGTTTCTCAATACAAATCTGTGGGCTTGTGTGTCCTCCAAGAAAGCCTGAGAAGGCATTTAAAAAGTGACAGAGAGTGGCTTGGAAATCACCCTTATTCCACAAATCGCTGCCTCCCTGGAGTCTCCCTATTGCCTCGGCTCTCCGTTCACCCTACAAGCATCTGACTGGAGAAGCAAGCATATAAATTCACCACTGCGGTTAGCGGGCTGGATACTAAACAGACGTGTTTATGGAGGTCTGAGTGATGTGGAAGATGGATAGAGCCCCGGGCAGCTGGGGTTAGAAGTTAGGCAATAGTCGCTGGGGTTAGAAGTTAGGCAATAGTCGGGTGGGATTCAGAGACAGTTGGGGGTGGGATTCAGAGACAGCGGTGGGTAGGGGTGGAGCTTGATGTTTGGGAGAGGACTTGAGCCAGGAGCAACTGGAGGGAAGGGAGAGCTCTGGGTCCAGGTTTGTGAGAGCCCCAGATTTGGAGCCTGGATCATTAGACAGTGGGATTCCCAGAAGACCATCTAATGTTCTGTTCTGTACTTGAAAGCTCTGCTCGCTCCTCAGTCTCCCTCTGTCTCTCTGTCTCTCTCTGTCTCTTTCCATCTCTCTGTGTGTCTCTGTGTGCGTGCGTGAGTGCATGCTTGTGTGCACAGAGGTCAGAAGTAGACAGATGTCGTATATCTTTCTCAATTGCTGACCATCTTATTCTTCTGAGGCATGGTCTCTCATTCACTCAGGCTCACTATTCACCTTGACTGCCTAAAAAGTCCCTTGATCCTCTTATCTTCACCTCCCCAGCACTGGGATGATAGCCAGTGAGCTTCCAATCTCTTACATAAGGCCTGGAAACTGAACTCTGACTCTCACTCAGCCTTACTTGGCGAATACTTAATCTTCTGAGCCATCTCCCCAGGGGCCCTGCAGTCCTTCATGTTGTTCCCAGGATGCTCACAGCGACAAACCACCAGCCTGAGTCCCGACTCTCATCAGGTTTGGGTGACAGTAGTCCCTCCTGCATGACTTCATACTGAGACACAGTCCATCCTGTGTGAAGGGTTTTGGACAGTTCCCGGGATGCATTAAGTGCATCGGAAATGTCAGCTCTGCCACCATGATCAGGTACTTCCCAGCCCCCTAGCCTGAACCCTGGACTCCTGTGCCCTTCTCTGATCTCCAAAGCTGCCACTGTATTCTCCCACTCCCAAAAAGCTTCTGCAAGGGAAGTCTTTGCTGTAAGACTTGTCAGTGTAAGTCAAAGACAACATAGATTCCTCCCTCAGCTCTGCATCTCCTCTCTCTCTCTTCCTCCTTTCCTCCATCCATCCCTTCCCCTCACTCTGTTGTGCAAAACAATACAATCAGGGCAGAAGTCCCTCCCCTGGGGCACTGGCAAACTGACAGGCTCCAGTGGCAGCTTGCTTGTTTCTTCCTGAGCTCTCTGAGGGCTCACAGATGCCTCTCTGCTTCCGTTACTCACTTCCCACAAGAGGGAGGCTCCTCAGATACTGTAAATATTATCATCTCTCATTTTCTTCCAGCATCAGAGTATGCAGAATAGGAGGGTGAGCAAGTTTTCCTTCCTTCCAGGTGGAGTTTAAATTGGCAAAACCTGCAAGCAACTCTGTCTCACATCCTAGGGGGAAAGGAAGAGTGAATTCATTGGCCAAATAATTAGACTGAGCTCTCGGTCCCCCCAGCTGCAGTGGGACTTGGGATACCTTAGAAAGAATCTGAATTCATCAACATGGCTACAGACTAGCAGGGAAATCAGTCAAGGCTATCCAGCTGGGGTTTTAGCTACTTTCGACATTGCTATCGTAGGCCACCTCACAAATTCAGGGGAGGGGGTTGGTTTTGGTTCACAGTTTCAGGGGGATTTCAGTCCATCATAATGAGGAAGAGCTATGGCAGAGCTCACGGCAGCAGGAACACGTGATGCAGACTTCTCACATCTTGGTGGGCCAGGAAGCACAGAAGATAAACCAGAAGCCGAAGTGGGTGTAGCCCTCAAAGGCCCTCTCCTAGTAACCCGATTCCACCAGCTAGGCCCCATCTCCTGAAGGCTCACGGGCTCCCGAAACAGCACCATCAGCTGGGGACTAATTGCTCAAACACATGAGCCTGTGAGGGACAGTTCACATATAATCCATAACAGTCAGCTTCTAGATTGCTTCAAGATCAGACGAGGGCACTGACTCCCGAGGGGGAGGGGCAGAAATGGTCAAAAAGGGGAGTCAGCTCGACAGCATCTTCTAGAAAGGACCAGAATGCTTAAATGGGGGGAGCTGAGTATTGCTCGTGTGTCACAACCTTTAAAGTTTATGTCTACACAGGTTTTTTTTTTTTTTATCAGAGAAGGGGTGAAAAAAGAGACAAAGTCACCCCACATTTATAACTCTTTAAGAGATTTATTTTATTATTATTTTTATTTGTGTGTGTGAAAGAGTGAGAGAGAGCACAACCTAGTGTCCACAAGATCCCCCACAGAGGCCAGAAGAGGATGTCAGATCCCTAGAGCCGGAGTGACAGACAGATGTGAGCTGCCCCGACATGGGTGCTGGGAACTGAACTCCGGTCCTCTGCAAGAGCAGCGAGCTCTCCTAACTGGAGACGCTCTCCAGCCTCACACTTTATATTCAGAATCAAATCAGAACTCTCGCAGGAATGTGAATTCATGCAAAACCTGTAAAAACAACAAATTGGCCAAATGAGTCAAGAGCCTTAAAAATATCCAAAATTTTTTTACTGGCTGGAGTCTGAGCCTAAGAAAATCACTTCAAACACAGAAAAAAGAAGGTTTGCTGTGGTGTTATTCATAGTGGAGAGAAATGGGAATATCCCATCTGCCCATTTGTAGGGGAAGAGTGAGAAAAACACAGAGGGATCTTCCTCATGAACCATCTGGCAGCATGCCTGTGAGGAACACTGCAGGGAGGCACATCGCACGACTGGAAAACAGTCCTGCTAAGATTTATATACACTGTGAATGTCATAGCTGCAGAGAACAGTGACAGTTAAAATCTTGTGTACACATTACTCCCAACAACTGGCACCAAATAGCAAAGACTATGTTTGTTTCTTTTTAAACTTCTGCACTGGGGAGACCCAAAAATGGGAGCCTATTTCCACGTTGACCAAAGGTCAGAGAGTTGGAACTTACCTCTAGTCCTTCAGAGTTACTGTGTTTCTACCTCAAACAAAGGTCCCACCTAGGTGTAGACCAGAGAGCTCTGCTCTCTCAGGGTTAGACCCAACAGGTATGGCTAATACCCAGGCCTTGTATTTCAGGAATAGAGAAATAGACATGCTTCTACTCCAAAAGTCTAAGGATCCAACTAAGTTCTAGTTCCCTTAAGGAAATAACTTTGAATTCCACTGAGGAAATGGTTTGTCTACAGAATGTTTTGGTCTATGGTATGAGCGTGACTTGTTTTGTTCTAGCAACAGAATGTTTAACTATGGATGTAGCCCACTACCTTCAACTGGTCATTTATTTCCTTGTATCATGTTAATACAGTTTTTTGTCTTACTCCTACCTTTTGAGGTCAGGGGTATTTAAAGCAATTGGAAATTAAATGCGGGCGAATTTCAATACTCATTGGAATTCCCTCCTGATACTATTCTATGTTTATCTATTTTATTATCTGCATTCGTGTCTTCATATTCTTTACTAATATTTTCTAAATCTCCATGCCTCTACCCTGGCAGGAGGTATTTTTTGTTGAGGCTGTTCCAAGACACAGCATTTTTAACAATTTTAGTATTTTATTTTATATGTATGGGTGTTTTATCTGCATGTATGTCTGTGAATCATGCCTGGTGCCTTCAGAGGACACAAGAGGGCATTGGGTCCCCTAAAACTAAAGTTACAGATGGTTGTGAACCTCCATGTAGGTGCTGGGAATTGAACTTAGGACCTCTGGAAGAGCAATCAGTACTCTTAACCTCTGAGCCATCTCTCCAGTCCTCTTCCACGTTTTTAATGACTTTGAAAATTATATATTTTACTTTTTAAAAAAACATAATTTCTTTATTGATTCTTTGGGAATTTCACATCATGAACCCCAATTCCACTCATCTCCCAGTCCCCCCCCATATCTGCCCCTCACCCTTGTAGTGTCCCCAAAAGAGAAAAATTTTAAAAATTAAACACAAAATAAACAAACCCTCTTTGGTCCTCCATCCTTTCTGCCTCTTCAACACCTCTTCATTCATCTTAGTGGCACCGGGAGGGAGCATCAGCCTTATTTACACATAGCTTATTGGTCTGGTTTCAAGGCCTCTTATTCCTGGTCCACCATCACCACTGGGTCCTTACCAAAACTCCTCTGGATATCCTGTGGCCTCCCTGAGTCATGGAGATCCTGCTGGTATCATTCCACTGGGCCAGTTCTTTCACACGCTCCAGCAGGGCATAGATGGAGTAGATGTTAGGGGGCCAACCCAAGGCCCTGGATGTGGGCCTGGGTGACTGCTGAGCTGGTCAGTCCAGGCCACTGGGGCTGCCCTACTCAGGCAAGGGGCAGAGTCAGCTCTTCTCCCATGCCTGTGGCGAGGGGTGGGACCATCTCTCTCCATTGTTGGAGGTGGGGTGGGGAGGTGTGCACAGCTCTTGGGCTGTGTCCAGTGAAGGGGACGGGGAATGAGGGGTGGGGGATGGGGATGTGCACAGCCCTCCTGCAGTGTCTAGTGAAAGCCAGGGCCAGGAAATGACGGGCCAGCTCAGCACCACCCTCTGGTTTTATCACTACTGCTTCCTATGGTCTCCTGGGATAACCTGGGCCACAGACCTTAGCTGCACCAGGACCACAGACATGACTCTCAGCAGCAGCTCGCCTGGAAAACACCATAGCTCTGGGTGGCGGCACAGGCCACTCAGATCAGCATGGCTCTGGCAGTGAGTGGCACAGCCCACAGACACCAACAAGGCCGCAGTTTGCGGCACAGCCCCTAAGCTTCCATGTGGCCTTTGCTGGCAACACAGGCAAAGAATGTTACCACAGACCCTGGCTGCGGTAGGTCCATGGACCCTGATGTCACTATGGCCCCCGGGGGCAAGCAGGTCACCCACCCACATCAGCCTACACCTCACCACCTTCACGTATCCATTCCGCCTCTTTCCACATCACGCGAACCATTCTGCTTCTCTGTCTCCCATTTCCTCACCACACATTAGCCCATCATAATGGCGTCGACCTGTCGCTCCAGCCAAGGCCTTGAGGACCCAGGCTGGCCTGTGGGTGGCTTCCATCTGCCTGAGCAGAATAGCATCAGGTGGGCTGTGGATGTCTTCCCGCCAGCCCAGGCTTTGAGGACCCAGCCTGGCTTGTGGGTGGCCAGCACCCGCCTGAGCCAAATCGAAATGTTTCACTTTTAAAATGGAAAAAAAAAAAATAACTGTAGACCTTCAAAGTAGAACACCCATCAAGAGATGTTGCTTTAATATCGAAATGAAAAGCTTTACATGGGATTATTCTCCTAATTTTTTCCCTGACCGTATAAAAGTCTGTGGATGTTCAAATTCATCCGAGTGTATTAACATATCTTTGCCCTCTTGAAATGCCCACGCTGCCTTAGCTTTCAACTGCAAGCAGGGAGGCTGTCCAGTCGGGCAGAAGCAGTTGCCATCTACGTAGCTAAATATAGCTGCTGCTTACACGGAAGCCGGGGAGGAACTTAAGATAAAAATCTTCCGCTGGATGACCTGATTCACCTAAGACACTGGGTGCTCATCACACGTGGTCCTGGGCAGTCTCACAGACGGTCTCACTGCCGCTCTTCCAGCCCAGAAGCCTGTAGATGGGGAAGGATCACAGCGAGAGATCATAAGGGAGTGGGGGGCATGTAAGAAACCAGGCTGACTCCCGACCAGCCCTCTGTGACAACAGCTCAGAAGTGCCCACACAGCAGTCCCGGCAGAAAGGAGAAATCTGAGTCAGAAGGGAACCAGTGTCTTGAAGATAAGGGGACTCTTCTGCTAGGTCTGGCTAGGTAGGTGTGAGGCAGGAAGTCTCCAGCGACGCTTGCCTGAGCTCCTACTCTGACTTCCGGCAGAATGGCAAGTCTCCCTGGAGGCTGGCATGAGGCAGCTCCAGAGGGTCCACTGTGGTTCAAAGCTTGCCAGCCTGTGAGCCTTAACTCTTAATTACGGCTGTTCTTAGCAGACTGCAAGGGAGCTGGGGATGAGGCTCAGTTGGTAGATTGCTTGTCCAGGATGCATGAAACCCTGGGTTCAATCTCTGTATAAATAAACCAGGGACAGGGGAGTCCAACTCTAATCCCTACACTCAGGAGGTGGAGACAGGAGGATGAGAAGTTCAAGATCATCCTCAGCTACGTGGTAAGTTTGAAGCCAGCCTTGTGTACATGAGATTGTCTCAAAAAAAAAAAAAAAGAAGGAAGGAAAGAAAGAAGAAAGAGAGAAAGAAAGAAAGAAAGAAAGAAAGAAAGAAAGAAAGAAAGAAAGAAAGAAAGATGCTTAAAAAGAACCTTCAGGAGCTGGGTGTGGTGGCGCATGCTTTTAATCAGGGGGCAGAGGCAGATGGATCTCTGTGAGTTTGAGGCCAGCCTGGTCTACAAAGCAAGGTTGAGGACAGTCAAGGCTATACACAGAGAAACCCTGTCTCTAAAAAACAAAAAGAAAAGAAAGAAAAGAGCCTTCGAGGAACTAACAGATGACTTCCTTAGGAAGCAAATGGGAGGGGGCACTCTCAAGAATACTAATGTTTTTCAGAGACACCTGGGGTTTGACAGTCTCCAAAGGACTTCCTGGAAGGTTCTGGGTCTTTGAACTATCTGATTTCCCCTGCCCTTATTTGTTTGACCAATCAGAGATGGGTTCCTTGTTACTGCTACTTCTTCTTGTTACTGTTATTGTTTTACTTCTGTTTTTTTCTTCTTTTTTTTTTCAGGACAGGGTTTCTCTGTAGCTTTGGGTCCTGGAACTAGCTCTTGTAGACCAGGCTGGCCTCGAACCCACAGAGATTCGCCTGTCCCTGCCTCCCAAGTGCTGGCATTAAAGGCGTGCACCACTTCGGCTCTACCGTTTTACTTCTTGAGACAGTGTATAGTGGCTTGAAACTAAATGTCCCTTACAGGCTCAGCTATTTGAACACTTGGTCCCTGTTTGGTGGTGCTGTTTGAGGAGATATAGGAGGTGTGGCCTAGCTGGCAGAAGTGGTCACTGGGGGAGGGCTTTGAGAGTAGAAATCCTCGAGCCTCTTCCCATTGGCTCTTTCTGCTTCCCAGTTGAGGCCTCAGCTTCTTGCCCCTGTTGCCCAGTCTGCAGCTGGAGACTGTGTCTCCCAGCCATGATGGATCCTTTCCTTCTAAGAATGTAAGCCCAAATAATGCCTTCCTTCTTCCAAGTTCCTTGGTCTTACTGTTTTATCACAGTAGAAGAGTAACTGATGAGCCGTGTTTCACTATGAATCCCTGACCGACCAAGAACTTGCTATATATCCATCTGTCTTTGCCTCCCATGTGCTGCCAGGCCCAGTGGGACTAATGTTTTATAGGGAAACATTGCAGAGGATAATAAGCCCAGGCATCCTTCTTCAAGGTTTCCAATAATTCTGATAATTACCAACACATAGCTGATCGTCGCTCCTTCCCCACCAATTACCCACAAGCCAATCTCAAGCACCGCGTCCTTCCATCCCTTACGAGTTCACAGGCACACCCATACGCACGGACTAAAAGTAAATAAATAAGTGTAATTTTAAAATATATAAACCTGCCAGACGTGATAATGCCTGCCTTTAATCTTAGCACTTGAGAGGCAGAGGTAGATGGAACTCTGCATTCAAGGCCGGCCTGATTTACACAGAGAGTTAGTTCCAGGGCAGCTAGACCACATTGAGACCATGCCTGCCTGCCTGCCTCCCTCCCTCTCCATCCCTCTCCCCTGCCCTGTGTGTGTGTGTGGGGGGGGGGGGTGGTAATAACATCTATCTTTGAGGACAAAGTGGAACTGGGAACTGAATCTAGGGCCTCGTGCAAACTACCAAAGTGCCCTAGTGCTAAAGTCTTTTACAAACATCACAAGTCTACCATGTGTTTTTTTTAAAGATCTTTTATGTGTATGAATGTTTTGCCTGCATGGATGTATAGGCACTATGTGTGTACCTGGCACCTGCAAAGGTTAAAAGAAATCTTTGGATCCCCTGGAACTGGAATTCTGGATGGTTCTGAGCTGCCATGTGGGTGCTGGGAACTGAATCTTGGTCCTCTGTGAGATCAACAAGTGTATTTAACCAACGAGCCATCTATCTAACCCAAGTCTCCCATACTGTAGCAAAACAAAAATAGTTCTCAAAAATGCACGCATATCCAGGCAGGCTCTGTCTTTTCCTGAGACAGGCCCGAGTGTATTCATTTGAAGCAGGACTCAGTGAGTTCCTAAGACAAAGGGATGCGTTCTGAGACTATGAGGTGAAAATTTAGGGCTGGTGACAGTGTAAGCAGTCCTAACGGGTGCCAGTCACTGAAGCCAAGCAATTGTTCAGCCACTCACGCATAGATATTGTCAGGTGTCTCCCCTATGCCAGGCCCGGGATAATGGCATGATCATCATCCTGTCCTATCAACTTACATCTGCCTAAGAGTGTCACCATCTCACGCCTCCAGCGCCCTTCTGATGGCTAACCTCGTGTGGCTGAGAGCGGTTTGGTTACCATAGTCGGCATCTGTGGCGATGTCACTAAAATCCCTTTGGACTCTGGTTCCCTTTCGCCAGCCGGGCATGCCTGGCACCTCTGTGTACTCCCTAGCAGCTTCTGGGATGGTTTTCAGAGCTCAGCCCCTGGGCAGTGAAGCTGCTTTCCTCTGGAAACATTACCTTTCCCTTGAGCAACTAGAACCAGGCAAAGACAAAGCAGAGATTAGAAAAAGTCCAGTCCCTTGCAGGGCTCAGCGTGGTGAACTCTGAGGTGTCTCTGATCTGTAGCTCCCCAGAGGTGGTGCTGTCTGGGATAAGAAGCAGGCTTCCCTCCCTGCCTTACTCTGTTTCTCTGTCCTGCGGATCTATTGCCCCAAATTTCCTGAGCTGAATTTGCCTGTCCAGGTTCAGGGTCTTGTTATGCCCCACCTGGAACTAACTGGATAGCTTAGGCTGGCCTGTAACTCACTGTGTAGCTCAGGCTGGCCTTCAACTTGTGATGACCCTCGTCCCTCTGCCTCCAGAGTGCTGGAATCACAGGTTCTGCCATGGCTTGGGATGTTTTGGCAGACCTCAACTTTAATACAAAATCTGTATGCTACCTCCAGTGTCACTCAGAATACAATCTCTCTAGTGACCACCCACACTTTTATCCTGTCTTTTACCTTATAATCCCCCCAAACCAGGATGCGGAACTTCAAAACAGCCTCACATCGGAACATCCACTCTTGCACTTAACGAATCATAAGGGTTTTTATTCACTTTACAAGAGAATTCGCAATGGGGTTCTTCGCGCAGAGAGCCCCACTTGAGTGTTTAAAATAAAATTACGAGATTTTACAAAAAAAAAATCGACCTAAAGCAAATTTCCAGAAATAACATATCCCATAAAAAGCAAGAACCTGAGTACCGACCCAATAATTGAGACTTTTTAACTCCCCTTGTGAAAGGCTTTCTCCTGAGGCCCCCTGCTAAGTCTCCGACTCTTTCTCTCCAGCCCCCTCGGCCATACCCTGAAGGGAGTTGCCATGGTGACCGTGGGACTGTGACCTCCAGAGTAGCTGGGGCTCAGAAGAAAGGATTTCCCCAGTGTGGCTGAGAAGTGGAAAGCCGAGAGAAAGAACACTGGGTATTCTCTTTCCCCAGTAACAGGCAGATGTTTTTCTCGCTACGGAGACTGGGAAAAGGGCTCACACGCTTGCTGAATGTCCTGGAGCTGACGGGGTTCACCCTGCTACCCATGGGCAAAGATGCTAACTAACAACACGGGTTCAGACAAAGCACTCACCAAAGGGAAGGCGTCCTGGGAAGGCGGGCTGCCACTGAATGACTCTTAATTAATTTATTACGAGAGGCCATGGGAATAAAAGAAGGGTCACTCCATATGTAAATGACTCTGTCTTTAATCCCAGGATCTGAACCCATTTAACCAAAGAAATGAAAGCCATGTCACTTTCGTTTAATTAGCTCAAATGAGGGCCAAACAGGCTTGAGTGCGGGAACCTGCGCTGGAACTCGCTCATTCCCACCTACTTAGCACAAAGACCACGGCGACCTCTGTCCTGCTCCTTTCTCCTTAAGTTATTAATATTCGTAGTGACAGGTGTAGTACATGGTCATTATAACCACTCAAAGGATGCAGCATTTTTTAACCTTTATGCATGTGTGTGTGAGCAGATGTGCATGTATCCCCATGCAAGGTTTAGACAGTCTAGGATTACAGATGTGCACTGTTGTGTCTGATTTCGCATGCATTCAAGGGTTCCAAACTCAGGTCCTTAAGCCGGTATATCAACTGTGATACACACTGAACCGTCTCCCCAGCCCAATACAACAAAAGAAAGAAAATCATACTCTGTAGCCAAGATAACAATCCTCCTGCCTCAACCTCTCTTCCTGGTCTTCCTTTGAGATTCCTAACTGATAAGCAGCCATCCCTTGTACAGGTCTGCCCCTCCTTCTCAAATCCTGTCACACACCACCTTTTGCTTTTGTTACATGACATCGTGCCATGGTGTCTTGGGGATTCCTCCACATTAGCGGAACCCTAACCCACCCGTCAGTGCCTCCATAGCAGCCTATGGTGTGTGTGTACTGTAATTCACCCACAGCCTCCTCTCTGAAGTGAGTGAAC